TTTATATTTTATATTGACGCATTCATTCAGTGACAACTTGTGACACACTCTCTATATTGTTTACCACGGCACTTTGAATATTCAGTCTGAAATAACGTGCAAGTGTGACTTGAAAACAACATTAACACTGTTTATTTGTGAACAACTGTGAACAATGTTGTATTTTGATAGTCATCGGCTGCTAATATGATTTCACTATTTAGAGTTTGCAAATAATACTTTTATGAAATTATATTATTAAGGAGAAAGTCTGAATGTGCAAATATAAAACCTACTTAACCTCCATGTAAAATTTCACAAACCCTGCTGTAAGTTCAGGTGTAGTTTGCTGTCAGAATACAGAGCTTTTGCTTGTTGATTAATACCCAGGCCGTGTACGGTTCTTTTTTCCTTGTCTTTGGCTAGGCAGAACCTCAGTTTTTAGCACTACGTAGTTTTGAATCTGGTAATCATGAAACATTATTTCTTGCACATGACCATCTTGTTAAATCACTTGGAGCTTCAATGAGATTTTATATTTCGGGCTGGATGCTTGGCCATTTCGTTTTATCCAATATTCATTGGGAGGGAGCTATAGCAATGACTTGCTCAGGTGTGACTTCAACAGAGTGTAAAAATCTTGATGGTTCAGTGGGTCTCGTCTATCAAATCTGATCTTTCATTTCTTTTTTTTTTATATTGGATTAAAGTTAGGTGATTGGCTGGGCCATTCTACAGCTAGATTTTCTTTCTCTGAAAGCTTTTGAGTGTTTCCTTGCCTGTGTTTTGGATCATTGTCTTGCTGAAATGTCCACCCTGGTTTCATCTTCATCCTCCTGGTAATGTAGATGTTGGACTGAAGCACCTAATATTCATTCATAATAACAAAGGGCAGAGGGTTGCTGAATAACTACTGAGAAATTTCAGCTGCTGTCTGGGCTTCCACTGCCTTTCTGCACCTCCCTTTTTTCATGTGTTCAATACTTTTTTTTCCTTGCGTCATACATTTTATTACACATGACTTAATGTGTAAGCTAATTAGATTTGTTTTCTTTGCACACATGGTTTTCTTACATAACCTGATGGATCGTTAGTAATGTTTCCCCAAGATGACCATGTCGCATTTTAGCTAAATCAATTCGCGCCTCCTACTGAAGTAATGTGCGATGCATTTAAAGTTTCAACTTTCCAGCTTTCCAGTTTTCCATGCATTTCCAGTCATGGCCGCACTTTCTTCTTGAAATGCATAGTTTGTCTAAAGCAAGGATACAATCAGTCAGTGGAGTCTTTCCCCCATAGTAAAAAGTGACATTTTGTGTCTGCCTGTTTGCTTACTTGAGCGAGTTCATTGCCATTTTCCCGCACTTGAATTCTGACCAATTGATTAGCAGTTTAGGAACTATGCTCGACAACATCTGGTCAATGAAAGATGTGGATTTTGTCAGATAATAAAATGCAATTAATAGGTTATTAATAATTAATTACTTCCAGCCATAGCCATATGTGATCTATAGCTGATTAACCATGTGGATGCATGATAACAGCCTTCTGAACCTACTAGTAGGCACAAAAAGATCCTACTGGCCCATATCTATCAGCTGATAACCACTGATTACGCCCATTCAATCGAGTGATGACATTCGATTTGGCTGGGTTTTTGGGAATGAGTAAATTATCAGGATTTTTTTTCTGGAGGAGTACTAATCTTTTAAAGATGACAGCATATTAATTTTAAGGTAAACTCTCTCTTAAAGTTTAGTACAATGCAGTACATTATACTACCAGTGTGTATTAAAGCAACGGAAACCTTATTTTTCCTCCTCTATGATACTTCTCTCTGTACGTTGACAGTAGAGGCGTGACGAAGCTAAACCATTTTGTAGCCTTCCTGTTTTCCGCCTCCTTTCCTCTGCAGGCTCTGTGACTGTATCAGAGGGCTTCCATTAGGTAAATTAAGTTTTACCGAGGAGGACGGTTTAATTGACTCCCCACTCGTCTTTATGATATGTGCCCACTCTTTAAGAGATTGTATTGTAATTCAGGTTTGCCCAGGGTGATGATGTTGACTGCTCAGCCTGGGTCTCAAGTCTCAAAGTAATTAAATGTCAGGTGATGTTACAAAATAAAAAATAAATCAGGACGTTCGGTGTGGGCATAAAGGAAATTAAAGTGTGTTCTCAATACACACTCTGACATCTCCTGATAGTTTTTCATATAAATTTACCAAAAGCCTTTGATTAAAAGTTCGCCGCGTATGATACTTGCAAAACTGCAGTGAAGGTTGGTGAATTATTTTGAGTCAGTTTAAATGATTCATTAGCTGCACTGGCACATATCAGGACAGATCCCTATGGCCAGCTTGAAAGTTTCATCCCAGGACTGGCTAGCACCAGCAGCTTTATCAGGAAGGACGTTCATCATACTCAAGTCCAATGATAAGTCACGTCTGCTGCTGGCTAAACTCCTTTTTTCATTCGCTTTACTCAAGGAGAGCTGGTCCCTGAGCCTTTTTTTTTTTTTTTTTCGTTTCTGTCACTGAGTTTGGGTTTCTTGCCATTGTTTTGGGCTTGGTTGAGCTGATTTGACACAACCTGTAATGTATAAAGCACTTTAGAAAGTTTTTAAATAAATAAAAACTTTATCAGGCTTGTGTCTCCACTGCCAAAGGGTACCAATGGTACCTTTTTGGTAGGTGTGGTGTAGGACAGAAAGTTGCAGTCGACGTCATTCTCGATCAAGGAAATGTCAAAGTAAAACATCTACAGGTTTTTCACATATCAGGAGATGCACTTCTCACAAAAAACAGATGCTTTATACACATAAATACTTAATTACTAACATTTCGATAAACATCATGTGATTATAACTTCAAATCAGTCTTTTTTGTTGGAGAACACACATTGACAGCTTATGCACGCAACTGCAACAGAGGCTTTGTTTTTTAAGAAGGCTGAGGTTGTATGGGGTGGGTAGCAATATCTTGCTTGTTTTTTATCAAGCTATGTTTGAGAGTCTTATTCGCTATGGAATCACCGTCTGGTCTGGAAACCTGTCTGTTAAATTGATAAGTAAATTGGTTCATATTTAAAAAAAAACAACCATGAAAATTATAGGAATACAACTTTACGAGCCCATACAGACTCTATATGAACAGGCGGTCATGAGAAGAGCCATAAATATTAGTGCTGATTCCAAACATCCTCTTTTCAGTGAATATCAGCTGTTACCATCAGGAAAAAGACTGCTGAGAATGCTAATGTGTAAAATCGATAAACTGAAGCTTTTGTTTGTTCCAACCTCGATAAAACTGTTGAACTTTACCAATAACACTGCACCTGTAGTACATTAGCACCTGACTGGGTTCTGTGTTTTATATATATACAGTCTTATCTTGTAAACAATGTATGTTCTTAATTGTTTTGTTTGTTTTATTTTTTTTTACTGTCTGTTTAGAGCAATTTTGTAGCACCTTTTTGCCCAAGACAAATTTCCTCTCAGGGACAAATAAAGTTTATCCTATCCTATTCTAGATCAATGCGAAATAGCCTACTGTGACGTTTGCAATTATATAAAAAAAATAAATGTGACATTTATGAACGCATTCCTTGTTTTTTTTCCTACTTTTATTGTTAACAGTTGTTGGAAGAAAGATCAATGTCCCATGATGCAATTCAAAAGTATAAATAAATGGGGGAAAATTAAATATAAAAACATGAATCACAAAATACAGAAACTACTAATTTATGGATATTTTATTACATTCATTCATTTGTTTTTCTTTGCCACAGTGGAATGAACCGCCAACTATTCCAGCATATGTTTTACACAGCAGATGCCTTTCCATCTGCGACCCAGTACGGGAAAATAGTATTTTATTATAGTTTACCTTATTGACACTGCATTGTATATTGATTAACATCACTGATATGTTCTTCTGAAAACATGAGAAAAATCATATTATTAATTTTCAGTATGACAATTAAAAGTATATGTTGTAAAAATTCGAAGCTGGTTGTTAGATTGCTACTTGCTACATTGCTGGTGTGTATATGTTATAGCCGGCAGCCTAACAGTAAATAAGCCAGCAGTGGTTTTGTTGCTTTTCCATTTTGTAGTAATTGAAGTCCAGCCATTTGAACTGAGACAGAACAAACGGTTCTGTACAGTATGCCTATACCATACATGGTTGGAATGACAGGCTATTTTGTCAACTAATAGAAAAAAGACTCATGCCGGTGGTCTGTGAATTGGCTGGCCATGCTGCTCATTGAAATACAGAAGGGATTCGTTGGCTGTGCCCAGCAGTGAATGTACTGCAATTATTTTGTTAACTTCCATTCCCCATGCAAACAACTTTCTGTTTGTCTGCTGTTTGTTCAGTCAATAGCGAACACATCTCTAAAATGACCTGTCAATCACCACCCCCACATCACCCAATGAATATCTAAAAAGCTGGATTTGTTACATTTGCTCTGCTAAACATAAAATAGTGTTGTTCCTGCTAAATCTGGATGAATGTTTTATTTTTCTTGAGGGAGGTGCACCGATTTATATTATGCAGAATTAAATTATAGCTTTTTAGATGGAAACATAATTCTTCTCTTCATTCATTATCTGTGCCTCTTTTTTTCTCTCATTTTTGGGCACCAGATCACAGTCAGTCTAATTTCAGAAGCCAATCATGCATGAAGGCACAGACAGACGGGCTGAAGCAAACTCTTTCATCTGATTCTGTCTCTGAGCTTTTCTTGTCCCACCACTCAAATGAACAGAATGTAGGCAATTACGGAGGGGATAGCTGTACAATGCTGATGCCTTGGCTTCTTCATCCTAATGCATAATGTTGTGAGATTAGAGCGCTTTAACTTTACAAAAGACAAAAAAGTGATTTGTTTAGTCTGAAAACAGGATTTTGTTGTTGTTGCTATTGGAGGCAAACATTGAAAATGGTCCATTTAAGGAGTTTTGTCTCTGGTAAAAACAGTTCTTGTTTTCTTATTTGCGTTCTTTCTTTTCTACAGGTCTGGAAGTGGTGATCTACAAGTTGAAACTTTTACGTATGTGGACCAACTTCCAGTTGCTGAAATTATTCATCAGGTAAGTCTATAGTTAACTGTTATTGAAATGTTTAAATTAAGGAATATAGCCCCAGCAGAATCTTGCTCATCCTCTGCAAATCAGTTCTACAGTATGTCAAAATATTTCTGACCAGGCCTTGACATTAACTTTTTTGATCACCAGGCACTGTTGCTACTAGATTTCATTTGACTTTTTTGTGTGTTGGGTATGAGCTTGCTTAATGAGTATGAGCAAATTGGCTGTGGTTTCATAGTGTCACATTGCAATTACTTTTTATTTCACATGACTTTTTAGGGCATTGAAATTAAGGATTTACCAAATGTATCTCTTACCACATTACAAAAATTAATAAATAATTATTTAGTAGCCACACATGTGTCAAAAACAAGCAACAATAGCTGAAAAAAACTTTTCTTTAAAAAAAAAAACATTTTAAAAATAATTATTGTAATGTCTAAAATATGCAGAGTGATCTGTCCTGGCTAAAGGTCCCAGATCAAGCAATTTTATTGTAAAAAAAGAATAAAAAAAGAAAAAGATAATTAAACCATATAAATAAAAGAAAGACAGTAAAAAACCATGTGTAATAATGAAAGGATGATCACGCGCACACGGGTAACATTAGGTCAATTAATAATCTGTTCAAACAATGGTTAAAGCGAAAGCAGCAATAGCTTTTGCTTACAAAAGGATTCATATATACAGTTGAAGTCAGAATTATTAATAATTTATATATATATATATATATATATATGTGTGTGTGTGTGTGTGTGTGTGTGTGTGTGTGTGTGTGTGTGTGTGTGTGTGTGTGTGTGTGCGTGCGTGCGTGCGTGCGTGCGTGCGTGCGTGCGTGCGTGCGTGCGTGTGCGTGCGCGCGCAAGGCAACAAGAGTGTGCACACCTTTTAACAGTCGTGTGCATCATATGGCCTGTGCGCGAGTGATCATTCTCTCATTCGGTATTCACCTGTTTTTTTTTGCTTGTGCGAACACAATTATTTTTGTTAGTCATTCTGCTTTTTGATTGTAAGATCATATTAGCACATCTGTTAAGCCATCCTTATTGTCGAAACCTGCTTTTAAGAAAACGACTTTTAAAATTATTTTTTTCATTAACAATAATTAAACCAGCTAATGGGAGAGGTTTTCTAACCCACCACATCTAAAATCTACCCGCATTTGGTGGGTGTTATTGTCAAGCACTGTTCCTGACTATTTTAAAGTGAAAACCACTTAATATAAAAACATCACATTTACAGTAGTTACATCATTATTTTAAACACAGTTTAACAAAACCAAAGATTAAGAAGAGCTATCTTACTGTAGATAAGTGAAAGAGAAAAAATGGTTTCAGAAGCTTCCAGATTCTACAACAAACAGTTATACAGGTACATACTGTATGTTATCATTTTACAAAGGACTTGTTTTATTTTTTTAAGTGACTTGTAGCCTATTAATTAATCATGAATAAATAATGTTAAAACATGTTTTAATTACTCATTTTTAACTGAATGCACACACAGTTGAATGATGTTGGGCTGTAAACAGGTTGGCGTTTTTAAAAAGTTTTCAATCAAAATGTTTTTGTTGGTACTACTTGTAGTGCAGTTTTCAGTGACATCCTTATTTTTTCCTGCCTTCAAAATGAATAAGATAAAGCAATTTCATGTCATCCTATCTTGTATTGCATCCTTCAAAGGCAGCATTTTCCAGTTTTTGACGCAGTCTTCATTTTAGAGGACAGTCAGATTTGTCTCCTATCCAAATTAAACAAGTGAAGCAGATAATTAAGGTCTTTGGTATCTGTAGAACGGCAGGTTTGCTGAAGCTGAACCTCCATTACTGAGCAGTTTTGAGCAGTAGTGGACAATCATAGGATGTGACCAGTACCAGATTAAAAGCTATATTGACCACAATCCTGAACTGACCTCCATGCACAAAAAAAATTGATAACAAGGCAACACAAAGACGTGAAGAAAGAAACAAGCGTCATTTAGATCAAAGTATATTGTAAACAAAATCAAAGAATGAAATGACATAATTTTACACAAAAGTTATTTTTGAGTTCATTTCCGCAGTTGGAAACATCTCACCAAAGCAAAATTTTGGGGAAGTTGTTTTGGCTCCTAAACACCTTTGAGCTACCATTGGTCTGTGGTTGGTTATGCTAAAGGTGGGTGTGTGATTCAATGCAATTTGTTATCCCTGATTCATTACTCGTTCCACGGGGATCAGAAAGGGGAACAACATCCTAAAAAACAACACTAGCCATATGAATACACTGAAGCTTGGAGTAGCAGAGCTGGTACAGATGTATCTGCACCTGTACATTCACTTCAGTTATTTAAAATTGTAATAAATATTTAGCAATTTAACTTAAAAAAAATTTATTTCATAAATGCCGTCTTGATGAACATAATAATTTTCTTTAAAATAAAATAAAAAATAAATAATAAAATAAATAAATAAATAAATAAAAACCCAAACTTTTGTTTGGAAGTGTTTTGTTTGTTTGTTTGTTTGTTTGTTTGTTTGTTTGTTTTTTTAACGACCATTTTATTTAGTTTTTTTAGGGCACCAGTATCTCCAGCAGCAAAAGCTACTGGTTAGCTCACAATTCAGCAAACAGATCTGAAAAACAAATCACATAACCACCAACATACAACCATGCCATAGACCGGAACAGTGCAGTGGCCTAATTTATATCCAAAGAAAACAAAGACATCTAAAGATGCCTTTTTATGTTATAGTGAAATCTGTTTTTGAAACTAATGTAGACAGCAGAATGATTTATTTAAGTTATTTAAATTTACAGTAAACTGTTTCTTTTCTGTTTATATTTAAAATGTTTATTTTAAAAAAATATTGTGTTTAATTGGGGAAAAAGTTTAACTTTGTTTTACCCAGTCATAAAAAAACTAATAATAATTTAGAGCAGTAATCATAATACCATGATACCTTAAAATTGGATGTATTTAGCCAAAGTTATCATACTGTCAGAATCTTATTAAAAAAGAAACACTGCACACTTTTTGATGAAGTGTTTTTTTATGTCCTCAAAAAAATTAAAAATAAATAAATAAGTTGGTTAAGGGGATCATCTAGGGGACTACAGCATATCTCCAAGGATTCTGGACTGTCATGAGCGATGACTGTTTTTAGAGTAATGCTATCGAACTGTCATATTGGAGCTTTGCGGATGACATTCATAAATATGTGAATGTTCTATTCAGGGTAAAAAAAGACACTGCAGAAATCCAGGCAGTGTATGGATATAGCAGGATGTCTCTAGCATTTTTCAGTCTGAAATCTGATGATTGCATGGTCTTACCCACTGACCGTCTTACTGGTCTAATTCACAATACATTAGAACTTCGATTTTCACATCTCTTTCTTTCTCTTCATTAGTTTTGATTACTACTGATTCCTTCATTAAAATATACAAGGAATTCATGTTACAACCATGTTAAATAATTCAATCTGAAACACAAATGCAACAGTAACTGAACTTTAAGAATATACAGTATTTCTTTAAACAGTTTTTTTTCCAATTCCCCTTTGTTTCCAAACACTTCCACATTCTCTTTTCACCTTTCTACTGGGGACTTTAAAGTTAAACCTAAAGACCCAGTATGATTTTCAAAGACCAGCAGTCAGAGATACAATTGACCCCTCTCAAACCCCTGTCCCTTTTCTCTCACAAGCTTTCAGCTATAGCACTCCCCTATCAATTTGTGCACTCCCCAGGGAAACAGAGAATAATTTCTGGAAAACATTGGCATCTCGAACAAAACAAAACTATAATGCATCTATGAAATTAAAAATAACTACAATTTTATAAAAAATCTATAAAAATCTCTATAAAAAAGGACTGGCAGCAAGGCTTCCAGGGGTATTCTGTGTAATTAGAGGAAAATAACAATTTCATAAAATTACAAGCAAAAACTAAAAATTCAAAATGTATTAAGTTGATACTTTGTATTTCAACTGTGCACTGTAAAACCCTACTGTCAGCTTTATCAACGATTAATGAGTGTAGTCAAAATTGAATGAAAGTTATTTATACTCATTTCAAAGGAGTTTTGAACTCAGTACTGAAGGTAATTAATGAGTTCACAGTACTCTTCTAGATGAGTTTTTTTTTTTTTTTTTACTCAAATGATTTGTCATAATCGGTTTCCTTAAACAGTTCGAGTTGCCTCGTTGGGTTTTAGTGTACTCAGTTGGTTTACGTTCTCTTCATTTACTGTGCTCAACGTGCTTCATTTACTCAAATGGATTAAGTTTACAGTACTTATTAGGATTTGTTTTTCAACCTAAATGGTTTGTTGCAATCACTTTCCTCAAATGGTTTGAATTACCTTAACTTTTTGGGTTTTACAGTGTAGAAAAAGTGACAAATTATATTAAATTACACCGTAAAACATCCAACTTGTTTAATGTTTTAATGCATTATTTTATAAAATTGCTCTATTTTTGTCTACTTGCAGTAATTTACTTTTGAAGTACAGTTTTTTTTTCATGTGCAACAAATAAAAATGTACTGCATTAAGCCTGGTTTATATTTCTACGTCAAATGACCGGCGTAACCCACGGCGCATGCAACGCGCGTAGCTGTGCATTTATACTTCTGTGCACTGTCTCTGTTGGTCTGCATTAACACTTCCGAAACGCTAGTTGGCAGTGAGATATAAATGTTTCTCTGTGTCGAGTTTCTTCGCTGTTGTTTTGCTTTCCCTGAATACTTCCGGGATGTACAAGTGGCTCAAACTCGCTCATTTTGAGGCAGGAACCGGCGAACGTGCAACAACTTTAACTATGAGGTAAACACAAAACAAAACTTTTCATCCGGAGCTTGTTTACACTTGTAAACAATCGCTCCATTAGGCTCGCACCATTCACGCGGCTCTTGGTCCCGCCCAGACTCGTCAGCGCTACCAAGCCGACCAATCACAGAGCTTGCGCTACGCGTCGTTGTGAAGTGTAGTTACATTTTTTGAGAGGTGCACGTCAGCAACGC